CCCTCGCATATTCCTTTTCTACACAAAATGTGTCTTAGAAAATTTAAATCAATATATTGTTTTCTGTGAGTGAGTAAACAAGATGATTTTCACATCATTCTGAAGCAAAAACTCTAGACTTCAAGATCAGTTCTCAATAGTCTTGTGAACAAATGTTCTGTATGTGTTGTATGGCCTTATTTCAGTGACTTTTTAGCCACTGAAATTTTAGTTTTTCACTAAGCATGCATAAACGTTGTTTTCTCAAAAACACAATCACATACATACATGCTGCCCACATATTATTGTGGCCCAGTTTGTGCTGATTATGGTGCTACTAAACTTAGCAATTAAAATGTTTATTAGCAACTGAAAAAAGCACAAATGTCAGGACATGTCAAAACTTCTCCAGGGCCCAAAACACCCTTGGACCCCGGAGGGTTAACAAGGCTTACAGTAGATTGTGAACTTTTCAAAGCAATATAGGCATTATTTGATTGCGTTTGCTTGTTAATAAAGACGCTTTTAGCAATTCTAAGTACTTTTGTGCAGTTATAGCAGCATTATGCATTGCATAGCTATTCAGATCACTAGTTTAGTGAATTTTAATAGCAGCAGCACGCATTGCAAAATTAAGATGCAATGTTAGATATATTAGCAGCAGTCATGGCAATCCAATTATCACTGTTGCTAATATATCAGCGGCAGCATAAAGTACATTTAGTTGCATGAAATTTCAGTGATAAGATAACGCTTGGATGGTAGTGAACTTTTTAGGTGAAATAGGCATTTTATTACTTTGCTATTCAGTTCAACAGGGTTTATTGAACTCTTCAAAGTGAAATAGGCATTATTTGGTTGTTTGGTTATTTAGTAAATGGGCAGTAGCAATTCTAAGTACTTTTGTGCAGCAGTATGCATAGTTATTCAGATCGCAATGTTAGCTAATTTTATAGCATGCATAGCAAATTCAGATGCAAGGTTAGAAATAATATTAGCATCAGCATGCATAGCAAGTCATTATTATGGCTAATATAGCAGCAGCAGCAGAAAGTGCTTTAGTTGCATAACATTTTAGTGGTAACTCATGGAGGGTAAATTAACTCTTTAAAGTGCAATAGGTATTTATTACTTTGCTAATTCAACAGCGCTTACAGCAGGTTTCGTGCAGCAGCAGTAGATTATGCTTAGCAAATTCTGATTAAATATTACAACCGCAACAGCTCGTACAATAAATTCCTACTACAACCTTGTGAATATCATTAACAACAACAGCGTGTACTTCAACTCTGTATTGAAATGTTAGTGAATATTATCAATAGTAGCAGAAGTTTTGTTGTGTTGGCTGTATCGTACTGCATACATTGTAGATCGCTTTACCTATCGTTACGTGTCTATTGATTTGGTCATATTGTGCTGCTCATGTCTGGCGTAGACACCATGTTAGAGTAAAATAGGCATTTGCCTAGCTACTCGTATGCCTAATTAATGAAGCTCTCAGCAGTTCAGTCTCTTGTGCAGTAGTAGCGGCTTGCATAGGCATTCAGTCATCAAAATTTTTCTCAGCAGCATGCACAGCGTTTGTATGTTGCAAATTTTAATTTAGACACAATTAATATAAAAGCAGACAACTGCATTTAAATAAAGTCACTGTAGTGTCTTGCTCAAGGCCATCTTGGAATGAGCCACGCATTTAGCAATTATGTGTTCATACAATGCAAATATTATTGTTCTTAACATGCAATATAAATATTTTAAATTATCAAAATAAATGAGCAGCTGCTTCTGAGGCAGAATTAGTCCTGGGCATATGACACCACAACTACAGGGTGTACAGTGATTTATTCTTTCGCCAAATATTTTGTTAGCTTATTAATAAGTTAAAGGTAAGTATTTCCACTGCAGTAACGTTGATGAACGTTAATGGGGAAAAAAAATGGACAACTCCTTGAATGACAAATTTAAAACTATTTGCTCAGGCCGCCCAAGCCTGAGCCAGGTGGTTGCTGGGGGTTACTTCATCTATCAGCCTACAGTGTGATTCCTGTTTGTTAATGACACACACAGTGCACGTTTCTACCTAGGTAAGTTTGAGTTGTTGGCTCAGACACACAGTTAATTAGTTAAATAAACCTAAGGGTACAGCACCCAGGTTCACATTGTCAAGCCACTAGTTAATTTATCTGGACTCCATTAGCCCAAAAACACATTTAACTCAGGTCACTAGTTTAAGCTATCTGGTCAACCGATCAGGTACACACAGTCTTGGCAATAGATCTGCTTGTTCTGGGGGGTTTTATCTTTTAAAATTCCTTCTGCCTTATAGGGATGACTTTAAGCATATTATTGTATAGCGGCAGCATACATATTTAAATGTTTTGTTTCTTCCAGCTTTGTTGGGTGGTTATTTTATATGCTATTTGTGGAGCAACATGTCTTAAATACTCATGGCACCGTATCGCCATATGCATTGGCAGTAGCAAGATCCTGTACTTGGTTGCAGCAGCAGCAATAATCTACAACTACAGCAATAACCAACAGCAGCAGCAATTCAGCAGCAGCATAGCAGATCTGTTCCACCAAGACCAAATGCATTAACATTGTCATATCCATCACCATGCTAAAATGTTCAGAGAGTTGTCATGATTGAAAAATATAGTTCAGTCATGAAACTCTAGATGGCGCATTCTGATCGGGTGTTAATGTAACTGATGATATTCAGAGAGTTAAATGACTTGGCACAAGCTGAATGGTTCATGCTGCATATGCAGCCAATGAGCTTACTGTCTTGCATTTATATGGCTGGCTAGCATTCACTTGAGATTCCTGCAGCGCGCTTTCAGAGTTCTCTGAAACCCTCCACCTTGCCCAGGTCCACCTGTATAGATCTGCTACGGGGTTATTTTATATGCTATTTGTGCAGCAGCAGCATGTCTTAAATACTCACGGCACCGTATCGCCATATGCATTGGCAGTAGCAAGTTCCTGTACTTGCTTGCAGCAGCAGCAATAATCTACAACTACAGCAATAACCAACAGCAGTAGCAATTCAGCAGCAGCGTAGCAGATCTGTTCCGCCAAGACCAAATGCATTAACATTGTCATATCCATCACCATGCTAAAATGTTCAGAGAGTTGTCATGATTGAAATAATAAATAACTTTAAAAAGTAAAAAAAAATATGGATGAATGCAGGTAAGTTAACACATCTCATCATAGCCGCCTAAGCAGCTAGCAACAACAGTCACTTAAAATGCATAAATTATGTCAATAAAATATTATTAACATGAAACATTATTTGATATTTAAAAAATAGCCTTGGATATTTCAGTCTGCTCGAGCAGCTGAACCACAAATGATGATGTAAATATTTTTCCACCATCACTTATTGGCAATTCACATTTCCCAAATGTATAAGTAAATTAATTATATAAAACTATACTGTCAGTACACAATAGTATCACAAATAAATTGGATCAATCAATGCATTTATTTCCATTCAAAGTGATAGAAACCAAAATAATAAAATTAGGCTTAAACTATTCCTTATCCTATCGCTCCCTCTTGTGGGCAACGTTAACATCACAGCCTTCATTCCTCTGTTGAAATGGCTGATGGTTTAGAGCAGGGGTTATAAAACAAAAAATACAATTATAATAGATGTATACATTTCTGATGCTCAAGAGGAGAACATCAAATTCTAAAATAAGGGGTTCTCAACTGATTACGGTCGGAGCTAAATTCTGCAGGAAAGTGGACCTTGAGGACCAGAGCTGACAACCCCTGTTTAGAATTTTCTAATTCTAATTCTAATTCTCATCCTGAGCATCAGAAATTCCTATACCTGCTATAATTGCCCCTCTTTTTGGTCAGAAGTTACCATATTAGTATTCCTTTGTTGTAACAAATTAAAGAAACTATCATTTCTACCATCATCTTTTTTTACTGGTAATACTTTTTGTAACCTCTTATTTGCCTAAAAAGATAAACTATATACATGAAACTAAGCATGTTTGCTCAGAATAACCTGTTCTCCATCTTGGGCTGTTGTGTCCAAGTAAAACAGCATGCCTTTAATGTTCAAAACATGTTTAATTTAACACACATACAGTGTATATATATATATATAGTATAGTAATTTTGCTTTCACAACGAAACACAGCATCTTCACGACATGGCGGCAGCAACAATACTACAGCGAGAATAAAAGTTATGCCTTCTTTCTTTGCGTGAACATTTGGGCGGCATTATGCAAATCTTCCCACATCGTGATGTAGATATGTGGGGGCATGTTAGAACGAGCCGTTTTAGGTAGACGTGGTTGACTCTTAACTTTTATAAAGAATATCTCTTTGGATTTGAGACTTTAGTCTTTGCAACTTTACAGATCTTCTTTATGCACCAAGAGCTTGTAACACTTAAAAGAGAAAGGAAAAATTGAAATCGCATCATATGACCCCTTTAATATTTGTTCATTCAATTTCTTGAATGTTACTGCTAAATACTGTACCTGAAAAATAAAGCACTGTTTGTTTTATTTGTATATTATGTATATGTGTAATGTACTATTTCTTCGTTCTTATTTTCTAATAACAAAAATAAAATAATGACAAAGATTTTTATCTTTGCTCACTTTGGCCTAAATGTCTGCCATTCTCTTTTATTTGATATTTTGTTAAGGTGTAAGAGGTGTTATGTTTCTGCACTCTTCCGTTTTTAGCAAATTAAGAAAACTTTGTCTAAAAACAAATTTTGTGATGGTTTGTATTTTTTGTGCTCTATATGTAACATCAGTGCCTGTTTAAGTGATGAACTCCATTACTTGTGTTTGTTTTCAGACATGATAACAGACGTTTTATACTTGTGCTACAACTTTTTGGCCTGTGCTACAAAACTTTCAACCTCTGTAGCACCAGTGATATGTGAAAAAAAGTTAACGTACAGCCCTGCTTGTAACTATGATTAAATGAAATCTCTTATTATTTTCAGATTTACAGAATGTCCCCTGCATTGATTTCTCATTATCTTCTTCATTTTCATCGATTCATAGCTTGTCCTCTATGTATTTCTTCATTTCCCATCAAAGAATCGTTACAGATTATTTTGTTTTTGCCAGCCCAGCTTTCAGATAACTCAGAGCATCTTTATTGGCTTCTTCAGCTTCAGCGATTCTCTTCATCTCCTTTAGCTCTTGCACCCAGTCTTCTTTCCCAGCCTCCCTCACTCTGGGGATGAAGAAGTCCAGATGCTGAAGAGTGAAAGCAGAGTCTGGTTTTAATGCAATCTGAGACAGATGCTTGATGGTCTTGAATGCATTGAACAAAAGAATTGACTTTTGTTCCTCAATCGCCTGCAGATCTTTGTCAAGACAATCCATTATAACTGAAAACCACTTCGTTTGTTTGTGAGCTTCTTCATACATCTTTTTCAAATCATCAAACACAATTATGATGATTGAAGTGCTGATGAAGTATTTCTTGCTTTCTTTGACATGTTTGCTGTGGTGACACTTTCCTGTGCAGACGGTGCAGTAACCATTTTTCATGACTTTACATTTGCTGGGATTAGAAACCCACCAGCAGTTAAACTCATGGCAGTTTTCCTCACAAACGGTGCAGGTCATTGCCTTCCTGTGCTTCCATGACTTGCTTTCAATGGGAACCCTCATTTTGACAGTCTTATTGACCTGAATGGTGAAGTCTTTACACTCTTCAATCTTTTCCTTGTTTTGTCTCATTGCCTCCTGAATCTGAAGTTTTTCAGACTTTTTAAGCTCTTTCTCTTGAATTCGCAGCTGTAAATTGCAGAGAACTGCTTCAAGCTGGATGCGCTCTATCAGGACATTTGAAGTCAGCTCTAAACTTCTTCTGTCCTTTTCCTCCAGAGACTGAAGGAATTTCTCCATCTCTTCAGTGCTGTTTTCCCAGGCTTCTCTTTGAGCACGAATGTAACGTTTCTCATTGTGACGGGCTTCAGCCTGACGATTGTTGAATAAGAAACAAACAGGTTGGCCGTAATTGTCTTGTCTGGAGGGGATTCTGGCTTTATTAATGGCACCGATGACATTTTTGGGAGGCAGACCATCAAAGTGTGTGATTAAAAACACAATGTTGTTCACAATATCTTTTCCAAATAAAGACAGAATTGAACTGATAATGTAATGCTGCCTGTCTGAGAGACGATTCGTAGACGCTTGAGTCACAAAGCAAATAGCATCAACTTCACGAACTCCATCATTGCTCTGAAACAGCATGGCTAAATTCCTGGCAACTTCCAGATCTTTTTCCAGTCCTCTAGTGTCTCCGTAGCCTGGAGTATCAATGATGGTGAGTGATACGGTACTCTTTACAGGAAATACCTCATACATGGTGATTTCAGAAGTTTGTGATTCTGATTGATCTTCACCTTCTTCTTCAGTGATTTCATACCATATTTCATCCTCAAATTTCACTCCTAGTAAGTAGTTGACCATAGTGTTGATGATGGTGGTCTTACCGACACCAGTCTCTCCCACCAGCAGAACAATTTTGTTTTGTTTACTAGTGTCTTTTTTCCCATAAGTCCATTTTCTGACTCTCTCATTATCATCAAGCACTTTCTTCTCTGTATGTAAACGGTATCTTTTTGGAGGACCTTGATGAATCAGTGTTGATCTGCATGGTGGAAGACCCTGCTGTCTGTAAAATATGGAGGTAAATGTTTTTCAGAATATTTATGTAGCAAGAATTTTTTACATAACAGTAGCCATTGATACACAGACTTTTTGTGTTACATGCTGTACATTTTTCACCATGAACAAATTAATGTAATACAATATTTTAGGAAGACAATTCAAATACAGATGGTATTTGAAAAAAATATATATTCATAGCCAACTAACACACATTGTATTAGTTACATAATTTATTGATACCTTTTGTTCATTTCATGACTTATTAATTTACAACGTTAGCAGGATATTGCATGCTTGTAATTTCATTACCATCATTTTACCAACTCACAACATTGTCAATACAATCTCCTAAAGTTATAAGATAACCAAGAGCATTCCAATCACATATTATAAAATGGATCGTTCTGGTCCTTAATTCTGATTGGTTGAGTCTGTAACTTCATTACATCAGTATTACTGTA